AAAAAATCACCACGCCAGGAGGGGTAAAAGCAATCGGGTCAGCTGGCATGCACATGAAGTGTCCCTTTTTTTTCAGGGAGTTGGCAATCCTATAACTAGGTTTGTAAAAGCTAGTGACCAATAGCTTTGGCAATATGATGTACTTCTGTCTCTATGTTTTTTATTTTTATTTTAGATGAATACTGACAAGTCATTAATCTAAAGAAAGTCAAAATCAGTATATAATGTTTTGCTGATCTCAAGCTAAACGGATGGACAGGCTTAGTTTGTATGAAATTGGGTTATGAAAGATAGAAAATGAATTTTGAAAGAAGGCTCTTGAGTCTACAGCTGTTCATTTCATTTGGATGTGCACACTGGTCTGACGCGCGTCTGTCTGTGTTACCCCAGTGTCCCAGTTCCGCCCTTTGTCTGCAACGCAAGCAGCTTTTTCTGAGAGGAACAATGGAACGAGATGTAACTTCAGCTCTCCGGCTTTATGACTTTTCACACGGCCCAATGTGAGCACGCGTGCTTGGGTACGCATGAGTGAGCCAGTTAAGTGATGTCAGGCGTTAGAGTAGTAGGGTGTGGCAAGAGAGCAAAGCTGAGAGCCAGAGAGGGATGGAGGGGAGGGCAGGTTTAAACTCAGTGCCCAGGAGACCATGCAGGGCTGGGGAAAAGAGTGTTGAATTACACTGTGAGAGTGTTGGTTGTAAAGCTTTGGACAGCTGAATGTCTGAACTGAACCAGGATTACAGAGTGGAGAAAGTGAGACAGAAGCTTTACTGTATACTAACAGGTAAAAAAAAAAAAGCAGGAGGTGAACCAAAGTATTTCGAACTATATCCAGGGTCATGGACTTTATGATGGATAGGGATGCCTTTGGGAGAGGAACAGGCCAGGGTTGAGTCTGAGAGGGAAAAAGAGAAAATAGGGGAAGTTTGATGTCGAAATTCAAGTTGCATCACTGGAGAGGAATTTGCATCGAGCAGGAGACCAGATTGTTAACCGAACTTGAAAAAGCATTTTTTTTCTCCTTCACATTTTCATCTGCTTACGTTTTACTTTGTTCATTTTTTTCATAGTTATTTTTCTTGTGTGTGTGATCTAACAGCTGCAAGCGAGGCACTGTTATATTTACCTCAAAGCATCTCAAGTATTTGCTTTGATATTAGCTTCTCCACGTAAGGGAGTCAGGGTAAGAATACATGGTCATTTGGAAATGAGGAAAAGAAAGAAACTCAGAGCAGAAGCAAAACAGCAAAAGTGAATTGTGAAAAAAAATGCGGATGGGATACAAGAATAGAGCTGGTTTGTTTTGATTCCACTGACGCAGCTGCATTTCTAGTCCCGTGCTCAATTAAGTTTGTTAGGAGAGTTTTATGTTCGATGCTAGCAGCCTCTGGCCAGACGTGTTTTCTCAGATTGTTTGGTTGCAGTTCAAGTTCGACTGTAATTGGACGGAGAAGGATTTTGACTCGGATTTACTTAAAAGGCTTGACACTTGTCTCAGTGAAAGTGACACTAATCCCGTCTGTCCAAAAAAGAACAAGGGGTCATTTGATAGTAGTAATGGGAGGGGCTGTGGTGCTTGTATTAAGTACATATTAAAGTGCCCCTAAAAAAGTAATAACATACCTCTTACTTTTTTACATATTACACTTTGGCTAAAGTGACAACTAAAGTTTAACAAATCTGACCCACATGCAGACAAATCACTCAGAGAGCACGGAAAAAAGTTTTAACAGGTTTATTGGAGGAGTTACAGGAGAGGATCTGGAACTCAGTGAGCTGGTGATCGAAAGTGAGAAGGGAAGTTCAATGGTCTGTTCAGGTTCTGTGGGAATCTTGGAAGCTCGGATATCTAGCATGGTTTGGAACTCACGTTTGTTAGTCCTTGAATCCAGACTGTGTGGTGAATCCAGAGTTAGGTTCACACGTTGGAGGGCGGACAGGTTTGACCAGCGTAGGACCCGGATGCGCAATGGAGCGGACTGTCACTCGGATTTCCGATGGGAACTTGAAAGGAACATGTGGAGGTTTTCCCCTGCTCAGTGTAACTCTGTTTATCCTTCCAGGGGGAGAAGGTCCAGGTATCCAGTAACACAGGAAATTTTCCTGCCGAGGAGCAAAGACAAAAAACAAGTTAGACTCAGAGAAACAAAGTTAGATTAGACTCAGCTAAACTCAGCTTGGCTAGAGTACCCAAAACTGGCAAACACTCTGGCGTCGAGGTAGTGACAGTCCACTGCTCAAATACTCCTCCAGATAATGATCCAACGAGCCGCAGATGTGCAGGGAGGGACAGTGAAGACAGGGCACCTCCTGGTGGTGGAAAACAGAGACACACAAACTGGATTCCTAACATAAAATTCTTTATATTTTATGGGAATTTAAAGCAACAGTCCAACAAAAAAAAAAAGTCTAACAGAAACTCCAGTAAATAAGTTGTTTACTGCGATTCCAGCCTCACATCTGGGTTCTAATTTTTATTTGGATTTTGGTCTGCTTTTACTTTGACTTGGCTGTATGCTTCTGGCTTTTCTACCAGGATTGCCTCGTATACCATTGGTCTTCCCATTAACGTTGATCTCTTCTCAAGAAAACCATGATGTTTCCAGCACCATGTGTAGCAGAGGGTATTGTAGGTTGAGGTTGATGTTCACTGTAAAGCCTCTTTAAGATCATAGTTTTTCAATAAACACACAACCAAGCCTACTGTCCTATTAAAGTTCACTATGTTTGTTCACATGCGCGTTCACGACGCTACGGAAGCCGGCAGACCAAACCAGCGCATTCAGCTCGGCAAAGAACTCATGCTCTTCCTCAACACTGAAGTCCTCAGACATTTTTCTTTCGTTGTTTCTTTCTTTGCACAGGTAAACAGCACATTTCTTCTTCTACGCTTGCATTATTGGCAGAGCAGACGCTGAATGCGCACTTTCATCTGGTTTGGTCTGCCGGCTTCCGTAGCGTCGTGAACGTGCATGTGCGCGCTTTCAGGAAATCCTATACACTACTGTTTATGCTCTAAAAACATTCTAAATGACTTTGTTTCGAGTAAATTCTGGATGCTACCCTCTCAGGACACTTGGAATACATTGGACGAGCAGTATGGAGGAATATTGACACGTTTTTTGTGGACTTTTATGGACTTTTCTGCCTCGGGCGCCATAGACCTCCATTATTTGAATGTCAGCAGACAGCAAGAAGCCTCCCAGATCTCCAGATGCATTTGAGATATCAAAAAAGTACTCCAGAGTGTTGTTTAGCATGGGGGTGAGTAGAAAATGAAGGCTAATCATGTTTTGGGTGTACTATTCCTTTAATAATAGATAACAAATCGAGGAAGCAGCAAACCCAAGCGCTTTACGTGATCTCAAGATATGGCTGTTAAACGCACCTATATATTGGCAAACACTTTTATGTATCAACAAATACCGATACAAGGAAATAATTGGTTTATCTCTAATCCTTATTACCGCATTTTACTAACTATAAGGCAAACTTAAAAACCTTATTTTTTTCTAAAAAGAAACAGTCCACCTCATAATCTGGAACACCTTAAACATAGATTATATCTGGTTACACTTACCGACTTTAGGGCTGAAACAATGAATCGGATTAATCATGATTAATTGATTATTGAAATAATCGTCAACTAATTTAGTAATCGATCAATCACTACCTGGAGTGTAGAGGCTCTAAATCGTGACCCTAGCTGACAGAGCAACCTACTTTGAGCAGTAATTATACCAAAATTGTAATAATGATTTATAAAAATTTTGCATTTAAAATATAAATCATTTTTGTCTGTCAAGGTGCTCTATCCTGCACTCCTCAAGGGAACAAGTTTAATTCCACATAAAGCCTTAAGGAACATATTGGTATCTGATATATTGGTACACCCAGCAAAAAAATAATCTACAGATGAATCGATTTGCAAAACAGTCGGTAGCTGCAGCGCTACTGACCTCGAAGCAATCTTGTATGGTACACAGCGCTCTGTCAAAATGTTTTTACATGACTCATAAACTACAAAACCCCAGCGCATGCAGCATTACACCTACTACAATGGAGAGAGTGATATAGTAATACATACTGTGCTTCACCATAATATTCCAGCGTGTGTGTAAGGACCCCAAAAGGGCACCTGTCAACAGCCATGCTTATGACGCAAACCTTAATGTAAAGGCTATAAGTCACGCATTAGAACATGGGAAACAAGGTGCAAGACAATTCAGCATTAATGAATCAACGGTACAGAAGTGGAGAAAGCAAGAAGATGGCCTGTCCCTTATATATGTGAAAGTTTAAAAACAGACCATTCATTGACAATGCACAATATATAGAAGAATAAATGGTACATTTAATTACACAGAACATTCAAAGAAAAGCTCCCTGCCTTTTTTAGTTTTATTCCTGCTTCAGCACAGCTGATTCCAGTGGATAGATGATTAAGAAGCTTTTGTTGAATTACAATCATCTGAATGATGCAGGACATCAGCCTTTGAAGACCGGAGTCAAATACCTCTGCAATAGTGTCTATGCAGTATCTCAGTAGAGTCCAGGTCAAGAGGAGTAGTAGGGTACCTTAAGATGCTAGGTTTGAAGGAGTTAAGCAAATAATTTTGAGTTCATTTTAAATGTGTCAGACAATCTGTGCAGTGTATGGTGTTTCATGAATTTCAAAGCCTCAGGTCGCTTTGTTTTAAACCTCTCTAAAACTTTCCCTCTGACATCTCTGCTGTGTTCCTCCATCTTTATTTTCCTCTATGCACTCGAATATTCTATAACAAACTTCTGAAGTCTTTACAAAACAGCCCAATGTCTAGGTATGGAGTTTACTCTGGATGTTTCTTATTGCTATTTGCGTGATAAAAATGCAAAAAAAACTAAAAATGTTACTTTTGGAAAAAACTCAGAAAGAGCCTTTTAGGTTTATCTTTTATGATGTCATTAACTTCTGAATAAAGAACACACACAATCTCATTTCCTGGTGTTGTGTTTACTTGCAGTCAAAGTCATTGAGGGAGCGCTGGTTGTTAGATGGAGCTCCAGCAGAAGAGGAGACACAGAGGCGTCTGCAGGAGGATGAGATGAAGACCAAGCTTCTGGAGCAGGTCATCCTTAGGTGAGCCTCCATAAAAAAGAAAAACTGTGGGAACACTTTCCTGCTAATATACATGTTACGTTTGAACACTACTTGTTTTAAAAGCAAAGTCTCATGGCCTTTTGTCATCCATGACTTTGTTTCTGAGACAGGCTGGAGCAAGAAATCGAAGAACTGGAGACTGGTGTCCCAGCTAATAAAGGTGTGGCCAAAGAAAATGGTGAGTTATGTCCCCATAGCAACACAGCTTTAATAACTAACATAAAGAAAAAGCCATCTAATAATAGCCTCTTAATTTGCTTCACTCATTATTAAAACAGTATATCCTCTCTGCCCCAATCACCTTCTCTTCCTATGCCTCCACTCAATAATACTCTGGCACCCCCTGTAGGTGAGAATGGAGTAGTGCAGACCTCTGGCCAGACCCCGAAAAGAGAGGTGACAGGGGTGGAAGCCAAGCTTCTGGGCCCCAGTCCTGACCAAGCCAGTGAGAACAACCCAGTCACTCTGGTGTTCATGGGCTACAAGACTGTCGAAGACGAGAAGGAGATGCACACGGGCATGGAGGGCGTGGACGGCAACGTGAAGGCTGAGTTCGTAGTGATTGATGATGGCGAGGGGAAGGCGGCGGATGCAGCCACGGAGGAGCAGGCACCGCCTAACGGCAGCATGGCGGAGAAAGAGAAGGCCAGCGGAGAGGAGGGAGAAAAGGAGAAGGAGAAGAAACAGACCTGCAAGTGCTGCACTGTCATGTGAGATATGAGTGCCTGTTTATCGGTGTGTGTGTGTGGGTGTGTGTGTGTGACTGAATGCGTATGGGTGAGTACACACCTGCACCCGTGCAGAGCTGTGGGCCATTGCATGAGTCCCTATTTGCAATCGTATGTAGCTTTTGTGTTTGTGTGAAAGTGTGTGTCAGGACTGATTTACAGCTACACAGTCAATATCCCAACAATGAGAGCCGAAACGAGCTCCAGCTCCAAGAACCACAAAGACTCATAAGTACACTTACTCTATATACTTTCTCTGTATTTTGACTTTTGATTTCTATTGATATTTTTCTATTTTTCTGTCTTGACCTTTCTATCGTAGCCTACTTGTGTGTTTATCCTTATTATGAGACTGTGTACCGTATGTTCATTGTTCTTATTGTTTAAAAAAAGAAAATGTATGAGCTCTCTGGATTGTACTGCAGCCAAACTGGAAACATTTCTGGAAAAACAAAATCCAAAACAACAAACTATGAAGGACACAGATACTTAAATATATATATATGTCTCTGTGTAGGCCTACCAACTATTTATCAGTCAATTTCATATTTCAATATTGTCTAAGATATTATTTTGAATAGTATTTTAATATATTGATATGAAATTATGTTTTATACAATGTATTTATTGCTTTGGTTCTATGTGTCACCCCCCCTCCCCAACATCACCTGCATGTTAGGCTAGTAAGTGCCACCAGATTAACACTCTTTAACAAGTGTCTGTGCTTTCTTAGACTCATAAGTGCTCATATCTTTAGTCACACACATTTTTCTGTTGCTTATGGTTAATTATACATGCAGTGTTCAAGTAATGCATCATGCTTAAGAAGAAACATGGCGAAGACGCCCATAAAGTCATGTTACCGGTCACTTTATTTTAATACTCGATATAGCGTGCGGCACATGTACATGGGGATCACTGCTTTTACAACAGATTAGATTATTTGCACCATAACACTGTCTTTCCAAAGGTGTATAGTTGGGGCCACGTGAATTGGAAGACCTCATAATAATAAATTTGACTTTTAATGCATCAGCATTATCTCACTCTGAGATTTCTAAAGCAAGAATCAATGTGGGTAAAAGTATTCAGTGTGGCAAATGATTTTATTTAAAGCTGTTATTTGCCAACGGGACACCAGTCTGCTGAAGCATTTCACAAGGTTGCAACAGCAATGAGGGAGAGGGACCCGGAGCCACTCAGTCAGGGGTGCTTTTTGCAGCCAATGGGTCATTTGGAACCCTTGAAATGATTTCGTGGGGCACCTCGGATCAATTTGACATTGATACAGATTTACCAAATCTCCACAGAGGTTTGATGCAGATGGACCGTGTTGCCTTTTATTTTCTAGGTTGATCAAGTTGTTCGGGTTTTGTTTTAATGTTGCAATTAATCAGACTGCAAACAGGCAACGATTTTACTCAGAAGCAAACCTTGGTGTACCCTCTCATTTGAAATAGAGGCCCCTGCTGAGAATACATTAAAATTAGGAGTATTTTTAGTGTCTTTTTATTTTCCTCAGGCAAATATGTGGATCCCTTTGATGGGTCACATCTGCTATGATTTACATATTTATTTTCCACCTGACTCCTTTAAAGCTCCAATAAGATTCCCTATGTGCTTTTTTTTGTTGAGCAGATTAAAAAAAAACACTCACATTTAAAGTAGGTTTACAAGTTTATATTTGTAGCCTGAATAGATTCTAAAATTCAATAATTTGCATTCATGATATATTAAAAAAAAGTTTGAACAGCACTGCTCTAGATCACCCAGGGTCCTGCGTCTCTTCATTTACCTCGTCTGTTTTCCACAGACAGTGAGATGTCTAAATGAGCCATTTCTGTGTTGATTTCTTTTTTTTTTTTTTTTGCCTGTATCATTTTAAAAGATCATTGATAACCATTTTTATTTGCCTAGTGATGTGCAGCAAATTTGTACTGAAACCATTTTGGAATTTTTTGCTATAAAAAGGTTCCCATGGTTTGTTGAAGATTTCCCTCAGCATTATTGATCCTCCACCATACTTGACAGTGAGCATGACGTGTGTTTCCACACATTTTCTAAACCAAACCCCCCCGGAGCCTTTGTTGCTAAGAATTGGTTTCTAATCCCAGTAGAATTCAGCTAATCCATGTCTACATTTGTGATGTTGGGACAGAAACTTTTTTTTTTTTTTCCAGCATAGAAGCAGTTGTTTTTAGAAACACTTGGTGGCCCTGATATATTTTCCTATCTTTTCCTTACCTCCATGCTCATTGTGTCTGGTGGCAAGACACATATAGGTCCTCGTCCAGTCAAGTAAACGGGTCTGTGTGTCACACCACATTTATACTCCTGGGAAACAGAAAATGGCTAACTAGATGTTTCCTAGGAGCTAAAACCTAAACAGGTAAAATATGATTAAAATGATACTTTAATTATATTTTTTCTAAATGAATTGTAAATGGGTACCATTAACTCTGTTGTTATTAACTTTGCTTTAAACCACAATTTCTGAATTATATTCCAGCATTATGTGAGATTATGCCACTACAATAAAAGATAGATTTATTTGCTGGGTGTACCAATAAATGTGTCCTGCACTGTAGGTACTGTAACTCTGTTTTCTTGTCAATGTAGATTTAAATAAGGTAGCACTGCATGAAGCCTTGCAGCTTTGTTAATATCTCCATTTGTTAGGTTTTGGTTATACGCTGTCATTGTTCACATGAATGTAAATCCAGGGCTTAAATGGGGATTTTGTTCACCTTGATGAGACAAGTAAAAGCTATTTAACCCTCGTTACAAAAAAAAAGAAAAAAAGCTTTTTGGTATTGTATGAACCAAATTAATCTTAAATATACTGTAAGTTTCCTGTGTGTTTTCCAGGTATTGACACTTTTTTTTCTCCTATTTTAATCCCTGACTTCTTTTGAAAATTCTGCAATCTCACCTAAAAAAATAAATCCTAACCTTTTCTTTGCTAAAATAATGATAATCTTTGATCTGCCTTAAAACTCAGTTTAGTGAATGAGGTTGTCTTTTACTTGTATAGATAGTTCATGCTCTTGAATAAAAGTCAGCCTGGCAGTTTCTAGCTGTGGATCTTAAAGCCCAAAAGGCCTGCTCATTGTCCTGACCCTCGTTTGTTTAGCTGACACACGACATTATGGATGGTCTGAGTCAGTGATGCTTCTTCTCACCCACATCTTTTATACCCCAGCAGTATTTTCTTTCATCTTCTCTGTAAAACAGTAGCTGCAATACTCTATATGCTTGGATACCTGCTACTCCAGAAAAGGAAAAAAAAAAAAACCTCTGACGCTGGTGCTATACTGCAAACTCATCAACATCCAACTTTTGTTCAACCTGTGTCCTCTTTCTTACTCAAAAAGCTAAGTGGGCAGATTCAACTGCCCTCCTGAGAATCTTCTGCTACCTTCAGTGCCAGATGCAAGTCCTGCCTGCATTTTTCCACCAGTGATCCCTTCTTACATTCCAAAGGGAGGTCAGCAGGTCTGGACAGTTACAGTCTATGCGTTCCAAATGTAAACTTCCACTGCAATTGTACTACAGCATTTCATATATGATTATATACTTTGTTTTGTTTGTTTTTTTAGGCCTCTTTGCAAGGCCTGTTTATTGCATTTGATGTTTGTATTCAAAAAAAAAAAACATAAAGAAAGCTACATCTTTGTATTGTTGGTGCCTTGTCGGGCTTGTTTGGCTGGACTTTTTTAGACAGGTTTTTCTTGCTCTGCTTCATGTGACCAACAACCCATGTGAAACACTGCCTTCTACTCTGCATGAGAATTCCCCAAGAATACAGTTCCTTGCATAAGTATTGAGATTTTCCATATTTGTCATGTTACAACAACAAAATTCAAGGTATTCTATATGATATATAGAATACTATGGTTACGGTAAAAGTAGTGCATAACTGAGTTCAAAAGAAAGATTTTTCTAAATCTAGCTTCTAGTGCAATTACAACTACATGCTTTTTTTTTTTTTTTTTTTATATAGCCTGGAATCTTTGCCTATTTTCAAAATAGCTCAAGCTCAGTCAGATTTGATCTAGAGCATCTGGAATCATATTTATTTAGGATGTAACACCCTTTTTAAGAATGTATTGAGGCCTGAACTTTAAATTGTTCTTTCTAACACATGAATGTGCTTCGATTTAAATCAGTGGATTTTCCTTAAACCCATTCTATTAATATGTAGGACAAAAAAGTTCTGGTTATTTAAGTAAAATATTCTCCAAGTCTGTTCTGTATCCTACATGACTTTAAGCAGGACTTCTTACTTTTTTCTTTTTCATCCCTTATATGTGGGATGAACAACTAATGGTTTTATGATCACTAATGGGCCTCTTGGCTGCATCTGATTAGTGATTTTTCTGCCCTCTCATTGTAGCTGGATGGCTACTTCTTGGTAGGTTTGAATGAACTCTTTATGATACAGCTCTGCTCCTTAATCCTAATATTTTCGTTTGATTAAAAACATTCTCTAGTAAACCTCTGAGGCCTTTACAGGACAACTGCATCCAAAATGAGATTACATTACATGAAAACTGGCAGGAAGTTAATTGCACTAGATTGTATTCAGGGGGATCATTGTAAATGTCGCTGAATAAATATGCAAACCAAATATTTGAAATACAAACTATGAATTCATCCAAACTGGAATTCAAAGTGTTGTATATGTTACCCATATAAAATTCAATGAACTGTGTGGTTATAACATGACAAAATGAAAACATTGACGTGAGTATGAATACTTTGCAAGAGACTGTAGCCACAAGAATCCAAAATTTACTTTTTGATTATTTAAAATACCTGCGTCTTCGCTGGCAGGTAATATGCAGACTAGTGTTGGTGTCTTCAAAAACTTTATACTCATTTATTTATTTATTTTAACCATTCAGTTAATTTAGTTTGGTCTTTTTTTTCCTGCATCTTCCAAAGTTAAATATTTTGAGTGGATTCCAACTTTATAGACAAGACTAACTGGAATGTGTGGATAAAGTGTATACACATGTACATATATGTCTATATGCATACATAGAAATAAATGTACATTTGGTGGGCTGAAGGTTTGCTTATTTGTGGTTATCTGGCATAGCACAGCCACAAGAAAATATATAGAGAAAAAAAACAAATTTGTGCTAAACAAATGCCTGTTCATCTATTATGTGGTCATATTGATGTCCTGTCTTGAATAAAACTACTGTTTCTTAACATCAAGTTGGATACATCTGAGTTTAATTAAGCTGCTGTAGGTCACTAAGATCATTTAGATTTTTGTGTAATAAAAATAGAAGTTAGACAAAAAATTCTCATGAAAAAAAATTCAAATACTGTAATCAATAATTTAAATACACTGGATTGACCTGATTATTTAAATATCTCCTTAGCTTTTACTAGAATATTAGAAGTAAACTGCTGTTTCCATGTATTTCATAAACCGCAGTACCCAAATCAGCCCACAAGAGGGCATGCATCCACTATGAGCAAATCAGAGTGCATTTTAGTGAAATATGCTGTAACCTGTAGATGGAGGGTTAATGAGAGGGATGCATTAAACAGGATATTTATCAGACAGAGGGCAGTTATACAATATCACAGAAAATAAATGTAATTATATGTCTGTTATGCAGAAGTGCTCCACATCTAATAAATGGCTATTAAAAAGACTCTTGAGGCTAACAGGAGGATAATTTCTTTAGCTCTGAGGCACCTTCCCTGTGACGTGTTGGAGGTTAATGGTGCACCAATCAAAGAAAAATGTAAGTTAACAATGCCCTTGATACAACACCAATAATGCATTAATGAGAGGTCAATGACGGGACATATGGAATATAAATACTAAAAGAAAATAGGCGGAAGATGTTGAAAGGTTAGAATATATTCAGAAGGGGAATGCAAACAGAATAGAACACACATTGCAATTAGCTTCACAAGGGGTAGCAAAATCTAATTGCTGCCCTGGTATCAGTTACAGTGAATTACCTTTCCTCTGTAACTGGTTTGTTGAAGCAGGAACAGAAACATAATGCAATGAAACAATCAGAGTCATTAAATCAGCATGCAGACCACAGCGGTACAACAGTGATACAAGGACCAGCTGTTGAATGTAGCAACAAACTCCCAGCTTACTTGCTAGATCACCAGAAAGGACTAATTGTCACAAGGTCTGCAGCCACATCTAGATATCTGCTACTTCCTGAGCAAAATATGATATTACAGACCATTCTCAAAATGCTGCCGTTGCTGTAAATAGCTGTAACTGTGACAGTCACAAAAAAAGCACACACATACATTTTGAGTGCAGTGTATAAGGGCTTGGAAACCCAATTCCTGCCCTCTGCGGAAAGCATTGTCATGGATATCTGGATAGATAAGCAAAAACAAAACAAAGAATGAGTGATTCAGGTGTGGACTCCTTTCTAGTGTCCTCAATAACTACTTATATCAAAAATAGCTACTCCAGCATTACTGTATAAAAAAAAGCGAGGAATTCTCTGGCATTTAGACCTAATTGGCTCTCAAAATAGGATTAAAAAACATGTATTTTGTATCCTGAGCAACATTGATCTGGGATCCCTGTAAAGTGTTGATTATTAAAAGGCTGTGTGATTTATATTCTAAATTAAAAATT